AAGCACATGAGGGCTGAAACAGAAGGGAGGAAATAGAACTAGCCAAAAAACATGTGAAAGGGATGGTATCAGGTGTTTGGGAGACAAGGATGGAAGCCTGTCCAGTTCTCTGGCTACTTCCAGCTGGTGAGGACACAGGGTAAAAGGGCCTCCCATGGCTACCACAGCTGGAGGGGTATCAAACAGACTCACAGACCAATGGGACACACTGGAGACCCAGAAATAAACCCACACCTATCTGGGCAACTAATTTACAACAAAGGAGTCAAGAATATACATGGAGAAAGGACAGTCTCTTCAATAAATGGTGTTGGGAAAACTGGACAGTCATATGCAAAAGAATGAAACTAGATCACAAGCTTACACCATTACAAAAATTAACTCCAAATGGAGAAAGATTTGAATATAAGACCTGAAACAATTAAACACATGGAAGAAAACATAGGCACTAAGCTTCTAGACCGTGGTCTCAGAGGTGTTTTTGTGAATTTGACTCCAAAGGCAAGGGAAACAAAAGCAAAAAATAAATGAATGGGGCTACATCAAACTAAAAAGCTCCTGCACAGCAAATAAATAAATAAATAAATAAATAAATAAATAAATAAATAAATAAATATCAACAAACAAAAAGCCAACCAACCCAATGGAAGAAGATATTTGCAAATGATACTTCCAATAAGGGGGTAATATCCAAAATATATAAAGAAGTCATACAACTCAACACAATTAAAAAACCCCAACACAATCTGATTAAAAAATGACCAGAGGATATGAATAGATATTTTTCCAAAGAGGACATATAGATGGCCCGCAGACATAAAGAAAGATGTTCAACATCACTAGTTACCAGGAAAATGCACATCAAAACCACCTCATACCCATTAGAATAGCTGTTATCAAAGAAAAAACAAACGTTGGTGAATATGTGGACAAAAGGGAACCCTTGTACACTGGGTGGGACTATAAACTGGTGCAGCCACTACGGAAAACAGTGTGGATATTCCTCAAAAAATTAAAAGTAGAACTTCCATATGATCTAGCAGTCCTACTTCTAGGTATATATCCAAAGGAAATGAAATCAGTATCTCAAAAGAGATATCTTCACTCCCATGTTCATTGCCGCATTATTCACAATAGCCAAGATACGGAAACAAGCTAAGTGTCCATTGATGGATAAATGGATAAAGAAAATGTGGTGTGTATATATACAATGGAATATTACTCAGCCTTAAAAAAAGAAGGAAATCCTTCTTCAGTGACATGAATAAACCTGGAAAACATTATTGTAAGTGAAATAAGCCAGAAACAGAAAGACAAATACTGTATGATGTCACTTATATATGGAATCTAAAATGTCAAACTCATAGAAGCAGAGAATAGAATAGAGGTTACCAGAGACTGGGGGGAATGGAGGAAGGGAAAACATAAAGATATTGGTCAAAGGGTACAAAGTTTCAGTTATGTAAGATAAATAGTTTCTGGAGATCCAATGTATAGAGTGCTATGGTTAACAATACTGTATTTTATATATAGTATTTGCTAAGAGAGTAGATCTTAAGTGTTCTTATCACCAAAAAAAAAGGAAGGAAGAAAATTGTAACTATGTGAGGTGATGGGTATTAATTAGCTTGATTGTGGTGATTATTTCACAATGTATGCAATACGTCAAGGTGCACACCTGAAATATATACAATTCCTATTTGTCAAATATACCTCAATACAACTGGGAAAAAAAGAAAAAAAATTATATAAGCATACAACCATGAATTGGCAAGGATAAGGTTAACTGTATTATAGACTCCACAACCCTGAAGGGTTAGAGCCTATTAAGAAATGACAACAAAGACTCCTATATAAAAATAACAGTGTGATAGTGAAATACACAGGACAGAAAGTTCTATAAGTAGTAGTTATATTCAGTTTGCAGGTTTACGTGTATATGTCCCACCCTAGGAGGGAAGACCAAGAAGAGTCTGTGTAATCAGTGCATGGTATCAGTAGTAGGCCAGAAAGAAGAAATTGACAGTTATTGAAGTGGGGGAGGGGCCCACTAGATATGAAAAAAATCATACATCATACCCCTCCCCTCATCACCATCACCACTCTCACCATCACCATCACCATTCCCACCACCGCCATCATCACCACGACCACCACCACCATCACCCTGCAGCAGCACATGCTCCCTTCCCTCCTGGAGTCAGGGGCAAGAAATTAGATGCTATTCCTTCAAAGTAAGTTTCAATTTGGCTAGGACAAACTATATTGCAATTTTATGCAAAAGTGCTCTCCAGTGAAAGAAGTAAATAATGACAAAAGGAATGTGTTCTAAATAATGAATTACACACTAGGCTACTTTGCCTGTAGGTATGGAACTGATTCATATTCTTAAAATCAGTCTGAAAGCTTCTCTCTTGACAACTGTGATAACTCTTACAACGGGTAGAGGAATTGTGAAAACCATTTATCTTGGTTCACTTCATAAAATGGTACAAGCAAGAAAGCTGGAGAGTTATACAATACACAGGTGGGAAAAATATATGGATAAAGTGCCATAATGTAAGCCATCAGTCCCCATGACACCTCAGGGCTATCAAGTAACAGAAATCAGGATGACGCTGTGCTGAGCTCTGAATCAGTAGTCTTAGGCTTGAATGCCAATTCAAAGACCTCCAAAATGTGAGACGCTGGGCAGTTTATTTCAATAAAATGAAGAGTGTAAGATCAACCTTTGTAAGAACTTGATGTAATTTTACCTCCATGTGTCAGGTATGATTTTTAGTGCACAAACATGACTCCAAGAAATAGAACTTCTATTTTTTTATAGTCCCACTTAATTTCTAACCCTGATATTTACGATTACTGGTTTGGTCCTATTCATTTTAACAGATAAAAATATACTCTCAGTTCTTTCCACAGTTTCTCAAGGTATGGGATGGTGGATGGGCCAGAGCATGCCTTTTGTCATCTGACATTAGAGATGGTCCTTGCAACGTCCGTGACTTTCCTTCCCACCCCTCATGGATTCAACAGCTCCTTTCTACATTACAACCAGCCTCAAGGCCCAGAGATCTTTACCAGGCTCTGTCTGCCCCTGTGGGACCAGGCAGTATCTCCAGAGATATTATCAAAGGAAGGATGAGGTTCCTCTCCACTCTCAGGAAACAAAGGTATCTCTCAGCCTCGTCAGATCCGTTCCCTTCCAGTCCCTAGAAAACTAAAATACTTCTACGCCCCTGATATTTCTGAGGGAAATATATTGTACACATTATTTAACATCACAGAAGAGGTTCTGGCAACACCCCATAATCAAACATTCATATTCCCACATTAAAATATATGGACATTCACCCTGTGTGAATGAATAAAATGACAAACAGTTTCTCAGTGCCCAAGTCAGGTTTGGCTACCAAATAAGTGTGCTGCAAATTTACCAACTTTGGGTTCCAGGGCCTTTTGGATTGTAGATCTGTAGTTGAACTTGAGTAAGTTAGATATGGGTATGATGTAACTCCACGATAGTGCAACAGAAATTCAAAAGAGGAAGGTGTTGCTAAGGGATAATAAGATCTGTAAAGATTTCATAGGGAAGAAAGCACTTGAACAAAGACACAAGAATGTATGGAAATATGCAAAGATCAGAAAATAAATGGCATCCTATGTGAAGAATGAAACCCATTACCACATAACCTGTATATAAGACATCCTATGTATAAAAATGCATTATTATTTTAGTATATTAAGCAACATTTGTCATGAGGAAAACACAAACTAAAACAATAATGAGATAATGCTATACACCTTTTAGAATGTCTCAAATCTAAAAATGTGAAAATATCAAATTCTGGTGATAATGTGGAGGAATAGGAAGTCTCGTTCACTGCTGGTGGGAATACAAAATGGTACAGCCACTTTGGAAGACATTTTGGTGGTTTTTCACAAAGCTAATCACGTCTTACTATACAATCCAGCAATTGTGCTCCTGTGTATTTAACCACCTGATTTGAAAACCTATATCCACACAAAACCCAGCATGTGAATGTTTGTAGCAACTTTATTCACAATCACCTCAAGATGCCCTTCAATAGGCAAATGGATAAAGAACTGTGGTACATCCAGACAATGGAATATTATTGAACAGTAAAAAAAAATAAACCACACACACACACACAAAAATACAACAAAAAAGAGCTATCATGCAACACAAAGACATGCAGGAATCTTAAATGCATATTTATAAGTGGAACTGTCTAATATAAAAAGACTACACACTGTATCATTCCATCGATGTGACATTCTGGAAAAGGTAAAACTAGAGATGGCAACCAGATCAGTGGATGCCAGGAGTTCAGGGTAGGGAAGAGTTAAATGGGTGAAACACAGAGGATTTTTAGGATATTGAAACTGTTGTATATGATACTGTAATGGTAGATATATGACACCACACATTTGTCAAAACTCAGAGAGCTTTATAACACAGAGTCGACCTTAAAGGATGCAAATAAAAAAAAAAACACCCTTAAATCATTTAGAATGTGAGAGGGTCTCAGGATGGAATGTAGAATGTGACTAAACAATCTCACTGTATTACACATATATGAAACAACCTCATTGACGAAGATGAGGGAGAAAGGTGCTGACCTAAGTAATTCCAGAAATGAGTGAAGTCTGCAAATGAAAGACAAAAGGAACTCTAGTTGATGAAGTGGAATAGGGGTTAAGAATTATGAAGCCACTATACATGTACACTAGAATTGAACCATTAAGTAAAGAGATGGCAGAGCCAGGTTTCTCACCATTGGAGTTATAGACAAACAAGGGCAAAAGGAGAATGATCCCTGTGGTAACAGATTAGAACTGGAGATATCAATATGAACTCAGGTTTACCTTACTAGAGATACAGATAGTTACATATAGAAATATTTATANATATATATATATATATATATATATATATATATATATATATATATATATATATATATATATATACACACTAGTTTTAGTATACACACATATACTTCCTTGGGTCTACGAGGGCCTAGAAGCAATGATACTCAGTGGCAATTAGCACATTTAGGGCTAGCTCTTTATTTCTAATACTATTCTCCAATCAAAGGAACCAAGGCTCCTTGGGAACTGGCTGATTCTAGCAAAGAGCAGGAAATATGCAAGGTAAAAGCCTGCAGCATCTTGTAGTACCAGAAAGTAAGGATGTGGGGATATGTCAGTGACACAGGAGCCACATGGAAGACCTCCCAATGGCCAAACCAGGAAGAATATGAGCAACAAAATAAATAAGGTCATACTGGATTATAGCTCAAAGTATAAAACTGATACTCACGAGTCCATACTAATATAAACATAAATGATTAAATAAATAATAGAACAGGCAACTTGCCCATGCAGAATTCCAAATAATTTATGTAGATACTTTGCCCTCAAGGGGGTATCCTTAAGTGTAATTGTGCATAGTGACTCCCTCCCAAAGGACAAGGTATAAAAAGAGGGGGGGGGGGAATAACATTACCTCAACCAGGTGGTCAAGATTAATATCAACAGTGAAGTCATACTGAAAGTATGTAACCTTGATAATGATGTGATAAGAATACTTTACCTCTATTGTCTTCCTCCTAAAAACTAATAACCCCAGTCTAATCATGAGAAAAACACGTGACAAATTCCAGATAACGGACATTCACTCCTGTAATATGCCGGCCATTGTTCTACGTAACGACAGTGAACAGAACAGAATGTCTGCCCTTGAAGACAAGGGTATCCACCTTTCTAATGAGGAAGACAGTCAATAGACAACATAAATAATAACTAAGTACATTGCATAGCATGTTATAAGGTATTAAGTACCTTATGGAAGAAAAAAAGAACAGGTAAAAATGGATTAAGGTGCAAGTTGTAATAATAAACAGGGTGTGCCTCACGAAAAAAGGGACATAAGAGCAAAGACTGGAGGGAAGTGAGGGGCTTAGCCAAGCGGTTACTTGGGAAAGAGCCCCTCAGACAGAGGCAAAAGCAAAACTCAGGGCCCTAAGATGGGAATGTGCTTAGCCTTGTCCTGTGAACACAAGGAGGCCAATGTGACTGAGGGAGCCAAGGCTGTAGGAGAGGAGGACAAAGGACTGATAGCAGGTGGGAGACAGACCATGGAGGGCCTTGTAGACCATCATAAAGACTTTGGCTTTTTCTCTAGGTGAAACCAGAAGCCACTGGAGGGTTCTGAGTAAAAGACTGACATGATTTAATTTATGCTAAGATAACTTTGAATGAGATGTAGACAACACATTGTAAGGAGGTGAAGGTGGAAGCAGTGAGTCAGATAGGAAGCCATTCCAGAATCAAGGCATGACATAAGGAGGGCCCAGAAGCAGTCAGATTCTGGTTATACCTTAAGGTAAAGTCTTAGATGTTGGGGGGGGGGGGGGGGGAGAGAGAGAGAGAGAGAGAGAGAGAGAGAGAGGAAGGATGGGCCTGAACAACTGGAAAGAAGGTACCACTGTTTTAAAAGTTTTTCCCTGTATTAACTCATCTAATCCCCACACTAAACTGATGAGGGAAGTAGTGTCATTGTTCCCATTTTCAGTGGGGACACTAAGACACAGGGAGGTTGTCCAGGTCACACAGCTAGTAAGTGACAGAGCCGGGATTTGACCAGACAGGCTGGTTCCAGAGTCCGTGCTCTGAACCACTACACCGAGCTTCCCTCCATGAGGGCAGCCTTGTCAGATAAAACGTTTTTGTATTGGGAAAAAATGTAACAAGACCAAAGATAATTCTATAATCTAGGCATAACTATGTGGGACTGAAGTAGAATGTTTGGCACAAGAATAAAAAGAAAAGAAACAGACTCATGGGCAAGAAAACACAAAGCAGGCAGAAGATACACTGAGAGGGATCTGTGTGGCTTTTAAGACAGAAGACCAGCTGTGAGCTCATAGCTTTTGCATTCAGATAGTCAAATGCTTACACCATTCCTATTGAAGTCATAAGTACTAGGCACAGAATGCCCCCTTGTGTAGCCTGGGCACTTTAATCCAATATTACACAGCTTAACAAGCTTTTTGCCTTTAGTAACCAGATTGTCCCCTAACTTTCCTGAATACTGTGGGCCCTAGAATATGTAGAAGGTACAGCAATATTTTCATAATTCTGCTGTTTGAATATAGACACAAATGCTCTTTTGGATGTTAACAGTGTTATAATTTGTAAGGATTTTGGGGCTACATGCACATGTACAGCATGACCTGATACAAGCTGTCAATAAACACCATGACGACCCCCAGATAGCCACATAAAAGTAAGAACCCTGTGCTCCTCAACTTGGGGGAGCTTGGTATGACAGGACATGCTGTGAGCCCGTGCCATGTGGCTGCATGGGTGAAAACACCTAGAGGAACTTTAATCTCACCCCATCTCCAATCAACACATATATTGGGTTGTCAGAAAAGTCATAATGTATTTTTTCTGTGTTTTTCATTGCAAAAATGCGTCATGACTTTTCCCACAACCCAATATTATTCCACCTGAAGTGGACAGAATCATAACCTTTGCTGTATCTTAAGCTAGGGACTCGCTTTCTTTTCCTCCCCACTCAACTCTGCTGAGTCTGTATTCTCTGTGCATATGCTATTTCACATTTTTACCAATTAATATAAAAGGCTTTTAAATACACTGCCTCATTTAAGTCACACAATCATCCAGCAAGGAGAGCTTGCACTAGCATTCTTATTTTATAGATGAAGAAACAAAAGCTGAGAGAGGTGAGCTGGCTCGTCCAAGGTCACTTGGTATCTACCACCCAGGCCTTCCAGCTTCAGATTCAGCCAAGTTTCCACACCAACACGCTGCTTCCCTGGACCCACTACACATTCCATCCTTGGACAGATCTGATTCTCCATCATAACCTCTCACACACCAGCCTCTTTCTTTCCATCACTTGCTCTGGCTCTCTTCACTTCATCCTTAATTAACTAATTTATCTTTGCCTTTAGTGCCTCAGGCCTCCACCCCACCCACCCCACCAGATGACTCCTCTTAGGTTACCACTTGGATCACACTAGAGTGTCCCCCCAGTCAGAGCCGGCCTCCCTTTCTGGCCTCATCTCTCTATAGCACCTGCAGGAAGCCTCAGTTTAATTTAGTCTATTGGCCATTCCCTCAACTTTCCTAATACTTTCATTCTCCTCGCCCTTGTTTTGCTATTTCTTTTTCACTTAGAACACTTTACCCACTAAGTCACCACCCATGTTGAAATTCTGTACATCTTAAACACAGAACTCAACTTCAGATCCCTTCACAGAGCTTCCCTGCTTGCTCAGTGACAGGATTCTCACTCATTTGGCATCTGTCAAATACTGCCCTATAACATAATTTCCTCTGCCAGTCCGCAAGCTCCAGGAGGTCGCAACTATATCATAGGCATCTCTGTATTATTCTAATGTCTAGCACAGAGCTCGGAACATAGCAAGTATGCAACAAATGTGTAAAATGCGTTGGTTAAATCAGTATTCGAGTTAAAACCCTACCCATGCAAACGTATGCAGTTTGAGAATCTACAGAAAAAGACACACACACACACACACCCTCCCCCGCCAAACTTTGACAATATCCAGAGGTTTCCCAATCTTTAAAAATTTGACAGAAATATGGGATAATTAAGGATATGTAACCTCATAATCTTATAATTTAGGTAACGATGTAGTCTATTCAATTAAGAACTCTACTCAGTTACAGCTGTAAAATGGCAATGTTCCCATAGATATTTAAATTTTTGTATTTCTATTTATTTATAATACAGATATAGGTTCTCAAGGATTCATAGAGCCTTATGTCATAAGTCAAATTTTGTAACTGGGCTCTGTACTTGTTAGGTAAGCAAACCCAAAGGCAATAAAGTCCTGAAAAGTGGGATGAAACCCTCCATGACCCACCAAGCCCTTGAATGAAACACTGCCTGTACAAATTCTACATTCAGTGATATGCATTTTGACCTGCTGATGTTTATATGGAGGGTGCTTCTGCCAGCTGTGATTTCTTTTTATGTAACATTCTAGATCTCCACTTGGATTCACATAACTTAGAATGTGGTTCCATCACATGTTGCTGTTAGCTGATAGGCATGTCAAACATTTCAAAGGCTACAGGGCGGTTAGGAGCAATGTACAAGGTCAGAAAGTATGCAAGAAAAGAAATCAAACTCTCCTGTTTTATCTTCTTTTATTTTTGCTTGGTTTTTGTCTTTACCCTACCGGGACCTTTGGCAATTGCGTGTATCTTCATACGTGTATATAACCACACCTTCTCATTTAGCACAGGTTGCATGTGAAGAGCCAAAACAGGAAAACACTTAAGGAATCTTGAGCTCCTCAAGAGAAATAAATTAGATCTGCTGTTTTCTTTTCGCTCCACTCTCCTGTGCTTTAGTCTTTATTTTTAAAAATATGAAATTCCCCCCATTTCTCAACCCTCATCTTTTCATACTGTAAGCAAGTGAAGTCACTAAAGGTCACTTAAAGGCACATAACCTTATGAATCTGTTAAGTTATGAATCTGTTATGAAGACAAAAGGCCATGGCATGGATTAATGGATTGGGATGAGACCCAGAACTATAAGAGTTTATAGTAAGTAAACGCTCAGACTTTGTTGTACAATAAGTATTGTGTGTTACACAATAACGGAGGCCCATAAGTACTAATTGTTTAGAGTCATACAACCATAAGCAGCCCTTCAAAAATTGAGTATAAATATCACAGGGAAAAACAAGTTATAAGGAAAATTTCAGAAATGTCTAAATATTGCTGTTTCTTGGACAAAACTCTACTAACCATTAGTTTGAGTTTTCCAAGAAAATGTGAGAGCCAGAGAATTTTAGAAAGTAGCAATTTTGACAAAATGAAACCTATGCAAAGTGAATTTTAGTCCTTCATTATACAGTTTATAAGTTTGAAAGAAGAAATCCAGGCTGTTAATAATTCTGGAAAATATTTTTTTCATGCAGTATATTTATAACAATAACTATTATGCATTCTCTCTCTGTTTATTGAGATCCTTATATAACTAAATCTTCCCTGGATAATCTCTGTGTCACCATTTGACTCCAGTTGCTTCATAAGCTACTCTAGCACGTGTCTAAAAACTGTGTGATGGGTGGTCTAAAATAATTTAGGATTTAAGAGTACCTGCGGTTTGCTAATAATATGAACATTTACACATTTAACCAACATGTATTTAACCAAGATCATCCCTTAAACTGTGAGAAATATGAGAAAGTGACATTATAATACAACAGACAATAGATTTTCCCCACTGAACGACACAGTTCTTCCATTGACAAATTCACCTCTTTCCAGAAATATACAAAGTTAATTACAAAACAGTAAGAGCATAGTGTTCCTTAAGCCATCCGAACAAATCACCTTTCTTCAAAATTTTAACATAACCTTAGTGTCAAGTGCATCAATGTACTAACCAAAGGATTTTGTTATTTCTAAACACTTTTATACAACAAAAGGTTGTGAGGAAGTTTTTTATAAGCAAAACTGGTGGTGGCTACTCAAAGGATCCATTACTAATTATTGTTAGGGATTTTAAATGATAACTTACCAAAATTCACTTAATGTTCACCTTTGTTAGTTCTTTAGAATAGGAATTTAACTCTAGAGTAAACATAGTGTCTTCTGAATATAGTGAACACACCACAAAGCCAGAGCCCACAGTGAGAGGTTTCCAGACCCGGCAGAAAGAATCCATTGTACAGCATGGATCTCGGTCCGTGCTCAAAATATCTAATGATATTTTTCATGTATACTGAACTTCTTTGAAAAGCACTGTACTGTTTCACATCCTACTCTCATTGTAACAAAATGTACTAAACAAAGCCTTTGCATTAGGTTTCAAAGCAGCTGAAAAACTGGCTGCTTTAGGCTCTAATTATCAGAAGACACTTCTCTGGGAGCTTTGGGCTCTCAAATATCAGAAACCCCAATAACTTATCATAAAAATACAAGCTCTAGGTTTTGAAAAATATACAAAATGCACTGCACGTGGAAATATCTCTTGATTGTCAAGGAAGACAAGATATCATAGCTTTAGAGATTCATGTTGTGCTTCAGTGATCTTTGTTTTTGCAGATTCCATTTTTCACAGTTTTGGGCAGCCTCTGACCTTTGGTGTAAGCACGGTACCAAAAATGGAGAAAGAGCAGCAGGAAGATGCACCCATAGCTCATAATGATGTATAGGAAGACTGGAAACTGGTACTTGCAATCCTCCATGAAGAAGAACTGGCCTATGTGGATGGTGACAATAATGAACTGGACCTGGCAGATGAAAGAATGAAAAATATTGTTTGATATGAAGAGTCACAATGGGGCAATTATTTAATGCATTCTTTGCCTGCTTATGTTTAAACACTCTCCAGCCACACTCCAGGCTACTGTGGGGTAGGGAACTTGATCTTTCAATCTAGCCTCCATGGGAGTGATAGTGTGTGGAATAGTGTCAAAATCCAAATGGTAATGTGGAACCACTATGCAGTTCCGCCAAACTGCACAACTTCTGGGGACCCTATCCACATGTCCCTGGAGCTGTGCAATGCCCTTTCCTACTCAGAGACCCGTCAGAGCAAGTTTTCTTTGCAAGGCCTCGACCTGAGTCCTTGACTGGTAAAAAGCACATGGGACCACTACCTTATGGCCTAATTTTCTAGGATAGTTTCAATTTCAATGTTTTTTTGTTCAACCAGATATTTCAATTTCAGGGAAATAAAAACATTCTAATTAGAGCCTCACTAATTCTGTAGGAGCCAAAGCATCTCTGAGTCCCCACATCTGCCATCTGTCCTCTACTATCGTAGATAAAAATACTCCTTATCTGCCAACAGCAGCAGCAGAGACTCTACAAGGAGTGGGGAGCATTAGGGACCATCTCAGTGATGCTCTTTGTTCCAGCGTATTCTACACAGTCTTAAGAGTGACACTTTCTGGGCTAATGTCCAGATTTCTTGGATATCTTTTTTCTCCTGATTAAAAGACAACATGTGTTCTGTGGAAATTTTAGAAAAGTAAAAATCTATTAATAAAAAATAGCAACTACCCACAATCCATACAGTTATAACCATAGTTAAGATTTTCACATAGTTTCTTTTATTATCATCATTAACTTTCCTTGCATTATCTTAAGGAACTTCTATGATATTCCTGTGCAATAGCTACAATTATTTCTCTCATTTTGCAGATGAGGAAATGAAAACTTAGGAAGACTAAGCAACATCTTCAACATTCTATGCAGGTGTGTTTGTGTATAATCAATACATTTGAAATAATAAACAAACATCTATTCTTTCTATAGAAGCACTTTCCCACATCATTAAAATCTTTAAACATTTAAGAGTATACGTATTAAGTGAAAAGAAGCCTAATACAAAATTGCATATGCAGTACAATACAAATCATACAAAAGGCCAAAAAATGTATACAGACACTTAGGTCAACGTTGTTCAAGCAGTAGTTCGCTGTAATCAGAATTGTATGGATGCTGATGGTAACTACTTTGAGCACCTCTTGTAATTGCAGAAGTCAAACATGACTTGTATTCATCTTCTGTTATTGGTATAAATTATTGAGTATTACAGTTTTAATACAGTTTTTTTCTTAAAATGTGTATACATTTTTTGGCACCCTCTGTATATGAAGCTAGAAAATAAATCAGCTCTGATTATCCCTGGGTGGTAGAACTATGCTTATTTTTTTCTCTTTGCTTAATTATAATAGATGTTCCTATTTCTCTGCAACAAGCATATATTACTTTCAAATCAGAAAATCTACTTAAAAATAAAGGAATTGTAAATAATTTTCATGACTTCATAATATTCCAAGGTAGGAATTAAGATAATTTATTTCACCATTTCCTTATAGCTGGTTATTTGGGGTGATGTCAATTTTGGATACAATAAGCAACTCTGCAAGGATATACTCTAATATTGATTTAATATCCTTACAGGATAAAAATCAGTCTATCTCCTGGGAGAACACATTATGTGACTATGCAGAATTTCATTTAACAAGCTGTAGGATTTTCATAGAAATTAAGCTTCAACAGGCTATCTACACCTAAATTCATATTTTCTTTTATAGTGTTATTGGCAGAGTATGACAGTGATTTCCTATAGATCATAAACCTGGAAATATGAGAATCACAGAATTCTTCTTTTAATAGAAGACAAAATTTAAAGCAAATCATCATCTCAACCTATGGTTACTCTTCAAAATAATGATATGCCATGTATTTTTGTGATTAATGCTTGGAAACTATTATTAGGTCTCAATTGAGTGGCTCTGTTCTTTTGAACATTGCTTACTTGAAGACAGTACTCTATGTTATCAGAAAAAAAACACTTAAAAAGCAATTGTGAATAATTTTCATGACTTTGTAATATTCCAAAGTAGGAATTAAAATAATGTATCTCACTGGTTCCTTATGTTTGGTTATTTAGGATGTCGTCAATTATATATATATAATAAAAATATATATATAAAAATATCATTACCCCACATCTGTAATCCTCATAGTACTTTTACCAGTTGGAGGAGAATTGGCTTATAAATGTGAGGACTAGATAGGCAGACACACAGGAAGGCTCAAAATTCTCACAAGTTACATTCTCTCAAGGCCATTTAGATCTAGAGTATGGAATTTCTAATTTAATATTGTCTATTGAGGTTCACGTAACTTTGAGATTATTTGATCACAAATGTTTTATATAAATGCATAAAATAGTATAAAGATACACATTTTGGTTTAATTGTCTGAGCCTCTTGACTACCAAATATGTTTTATCTTCAACAAAATTAGTGACAGAATGTTAATAACATAGAAAGGATAATGATGTGATGCCGTATAGAGGCCAGACACTTTATATCCCTATTGTTTTGTAAACTTGGTTCTTTATAGTTGGTATCCTAATGCACAGGGAAGACAAGTGACTCTAGTTTACTCATATATATTGTTTTAAAGAAAATTAATTACTCACAAGCTGTAATGTCGTCAAATATTTTTTCCACCACAAATACTTCTGGTAGGCTGGTCCCAGGGCACAAAGTCCATAGTAGAAATACATGACTACGTGCACAGCTGTATTGAGAAAGGCATGGAACGTTCCCAAACCACCTGGAAAATAAGATTATTATAAGATGGGGCACTGCTCCTTACAATGAGACATATTTTTTACTGAACTGAGATTTTACTATGTTATTTCTTTTAACTTTAGTAGGAAGAAAATCAAACAATATATAAAACATCAGTCTTGTTAAACAGCTATCAAATTAGAGGGAGCTGGATAATATATTCATTTAGTAAAATATGAGACAAATCTTAGAAAATAAATTAGCATGTCTTTATTCTGTTATATCTTGACTTAAGATGGTCTTATGATTTGTGTTTACTTTAACAAACAAGGTTGAGTTACTTTTTTTTTTTAAGATTTTATTGGAGAATTGGGGAAGGGGAACAGCCAAGTTGTTGTCCTTCAGTCTTAGCTGTGGAGGGCACAAATAGCTCAGCTCCAAGTCCAGTCGCCATCCGGCCACCCGTTGGCAGTTCAGCTCAAGGTACCGTGTTCAATCTTAGTTGCAGGTGGGCGTGGCCCACCACCCCATGCAGGAGTCAAATCGGTAACCTTGTTGTTAGGAGCACGTGCTCTCGCCAGCTGAGCCATCCTGCCACCTGTTGGCAGCTCAGCGGCAGCTCAGCTTGGGCACAGCTTACTGGCCCATGTGAGAATCGACCTGGAGACCCTGTTGATCAGGGCTTGTGCTCTTAACCAACTGAGCCACTCAGCTGGCCCCTTGAGTTACTTTTTATATTGCTAAATAGTAATCACATTTATTTTTTAGTGAGTGTTAACATATATAAAGTACACAAAGTATATTAATCTTAAGTGCACAACTTGATTTTTTACATTATATATATATATATATATATCCCCTTCCACATAACTATTACTGAATTCAAGATATAAAACATTTCCAACACAAGGTAATGTTCCCAGATCCACCTTAAAAAAATATACCCCCCCGAATGTAACTTTTATTCTGACTTCTATCATCAACTATTAATTTTGTTTGTTTTTAAACTTCATATAAATGGAATTACACTGGCTATATGCTTTTGTGCCTTTCTTTCAATCAATATGTTTTTAAGATTCACCCAAGTTGGTGTGCATATTAGTAGTTTGCCTTTGCATTGTTATGCAGTATTACACAATATGAATATATCACAACTTATTTATGCATTCTCCTATTAAAAGATATTTGGATTCTTTCCAGTTTGGGTTATTATAAATAAAGCTATGAAGAATACTTCTGCACATGTCATTGTGTGAAATCAAATTCACTTCTTCCACTCTCAATTTTCCATAAATATTTTTAGTGCCACAAAACTTTGGCAGTAAAATCACAGGCTTTCATTAGCAATCAATGTTAGGTTTGCTGTAATCAATTACTGGTTTTCCAAAATAATCATTTATTAATTGTTAAACCATCTTCATTTACTGCTTCCATTTGATTATTATGAACTGTGCCTTCCTATCTTGGTTGTCCTCTTCTCAGTTCACCACAGCTCCTACTGATCACATTCCATTTGGAACACAAGCAAAGAACTCTGGGGGAAGATAAGGAAAGATCACTTCCGCTGTCTTCGCTGGACCACTAGTACAGTGGAAGGGATAACGGGGTGATTAGTTGTGTGTGGGGGGGAGGGGACACAAAACTCTTCCCTGGCATCTCTTTCCAATCTAGAAGAATGTACATTCTTTTTTTCATTTTTTTTTAAATAAAGTATTTTTTAACTTTATTGGGGAACAGTGTGTTTTTCCAGGACCCATCAGCTCCAAGTTGAGTTGTTTTCAATCTAGTTGTGGAGGGCGCAGCTCACTGGCCCATGTAGGCATCGAACTGGCAACCTTGGTGTTATGAGCACCATGCTTTAACCAACTGAGCCAACCAGCCACCCTGTACATTCTTTATGGACAGCCTGATTTAGCTTAGTAATGCTGGCTGAAAATTTAAATTTTTCTCCATAATATTCTGTTCTTTATCTCAGTCTACTTTAATTCCAGAAATAAAGCAAAACATCATAAATTTGGATTAATTATGTTAGAAGAAGGACCAAATTCATAAACACTATGAATTACAGAAAATTTAAAGCAAAATAAAAATTTTTGCATAAGAAACTAATTACTTTTCAATTATCATTCATAATTGCAGCAATTCTTGATATTACCACTACTAAAATATTCCCTTAAAAAAAACCTGTTTTAAATAATTATTTTAAATAGTTTAAATATTCTCCTGATGCCTCATTTATGCTGTACTCTGCTTCATAAATTTTCCCTTCCTGAATACAGTAAATCAAATTTCAGCTAATCTTTTAATTATCACAAATTTCAAATCAGAAGACACTGAATAAATGAAGCTTAATAGCCTCCCAGCTTTTATTATTTACATTTGGATTAGTCTTCTCTCCCAAAAGAAACTTAAATCAATAAATTATAGTGATGTGAATACACCTTTTCTAGGGTAATTTAAAAATAGAATAGTTGTCTACTTCTGATAGTTTAGGAGTCAAGCTGCTTAACAGGAGGATGAGCTAAATCTGAAGCCTATTTTTGTCTCATGATTATATACACTCAGGAAATCTACTGCACTCTTGATAACGACCTACATCAGAGCCTGTCTCACTAAGACACCACTTTTCTGGGTTTTGGTAGAAAAGTGTCTATTGTCCATTCAGAAGCTTTCACCATATAAAATCCTAAAAAGATGATCCTATGGAAAAAAGTTTATCAACACACTAGTGTAGCTAAGAGTGTTTAGTAAGGATTGCTGATCAAAATAAGTCATCAAATGAAATTAACTTGCATATTTTCTCTAGTTATTTTCTAATGAGTTATTTTAATACATTTGTTCACAGAACAATCACATTTTAATTAGTAATGTTTTTCACATCTTCTTTGAAAGGCTTTTCTAATAAAGTATTTTCTGAGCTTGCTTTCTTTACAATAACAGTGTTGAAAAGCAAAAATCTTAGAATGAATTACAATTAGAATCATTACATTTTACACATTTGGTTTGGGAAAAATAAAGGAATTACCTGGGTAATTACCATAATTCTCCATATCTCTAGAAGGGAGTTTGTGCATAATTAATATAAAAACCTTGCCACAGAAATATTTTCATTATATTCAAAAGAAAAGCTGGATTGCTATTATCCCAGAGAGCTGTATCACAGGCAAACAGGAAATTAAATACTAGATAGAGATCAGCTGTTGTTCAAGTTTTCAAAAGAATAGTTTAGAATGGACAATTTCATTCTACGAACCGAAGCCAATGCCAAACCACATTTCTGGAAATACCTCAGCTCTCATTGCTGTGCTTATCACTGAATAGGTATGAGGTGTTTACTACATGCCACATGTAAGACTGAACAGAAACGCCAACTCATGGAACATATCAGAAAGAAGGAAACATTATTTTCTACTACTTACATTTTGTAAAGTAGAAGAGGGATTAAGGTGTGGACAATGAACCCACTACAAAGCGCTTGATGTTCGTAGGTGTGGTAACATTGAAAAATTGAAGTATGTCTAAATTTTGATTATTGAAAGCACTGCTTTTTTTGAAATGGAAGCTAGACTATCAATGAACTCAAAGATAGTAGTCAGAAAAGTGATCAACTCTATTCTTCAAATAAAATTTATTTTTCCCATTATAGAATGAATTGATGTTCAATATAAAAAAAATAGAAAATATAGAGAAGGGCAAAGAAGGAAACCACTTTTTGTGTCAATATCTCTAAATCACTGTAGTTTGGAGTATTGCCTTCAAATCTTTTTTCTACTTAAATCTATTGTTCAGTGTTGTGCTATAAAATTCTGATCTCCCGGAAGAAATCTGAATAAAAATTATAAGGGTATAAAAGAACCTTTTCTAGTATACTCTAAAAATACAATAGTCATCTATGTCTGATAATTTTGGAGTCAAGATGCTTAAGAGAGAAGATAGCTAAATAACTCTCAAGATCATTTGTGTTTCACAATTATACACATAAGAAATCATAACCATTCTAATCTATTAGTGGATGTTTAGGTCTTCAATTTTTCATCAACACAAAAAAAGGTATCAATGAATATCACTGTAGAAAGAACTAAGAGACACGATATGTATGTGAGAGAAAATAAAAACATAAAAAGTAAAGTAAAATAATGGAATTAAATAATACAGCTGGCCTTGATTTGTGAAATGGGCACAAATGAGATTATCTTGTTATAACATCAGCTAAATTTTTATATTAACATTCATTATTAGAAAAAACAGCTACGTTTACTTTTTAAAAATCTTCAACAGATAAATGCCAATTTGGGGCAAGGGGATACTTTACATACTGGATAATCGGATGCCCATGGCCATGGTAGGGACAGCTGTCCTGGTTCCTCTAGGTTCTGGCATCTCTTTCGTGCCACTAGCTTATCCATGACCTACCTCTCTTACTCTGGGACATGAGACATGCAGATATTTTCCGCATACCTAGAGTCTAAAGCTCAAACAAGGGTTCCTCAACTGTGGTTCCTCTTTTCTTTTAGTCTTGCAGAGTCAGAATGCCAATAGAGGTGAGCTAGTCACAGAAATGTTAAAAGCATTATCTAATATGGGCTGCAGGCCCACTTGAAGACTTCTTAAATTTAAGAAACTTGCATAAGTAAATACCCCAACCTGCTTAGGCTAACAAGAATATATGTCCCTGGGGATATGACTTATTTAAAACTTTATGATAGGGTAAAATTACTTAACCTATTTTTTCTAATTCAAGATGTACAAAAGCATAAAACCAAAACCAAAGAAAAGGACCTGTTTGCCAAGCTTCCTGTTATTACTATTTTTCATTTTTATTTATCTTTCAAAATTATTTTTTTCAGTTACAGTTGACATTCAATATTATTTTATATTAGTTTCAGGTGTACAGCATAGTGGTTAGGCATTTATATAATTTATGCAGTGAGTCCCCCAATTAGTCTAGTACCCACCTGGCACTATACGTAGTTGTTGCAACATTACTGACTATATTCTTTGTGCTGTACTTTACATCCCCTTGACTATTTTGTAACTACCAATTTGTGCTTAATCCCTTTCACCTTTTTCACCCAGCTTCCCATTCGCCCTCCCATCTAGCAACCATCAGTTTGTTCCCTGTATCTACGTCTGTTTCTGTTTTGTTTGTTAATTTATTTTGTTCTTTAGATTCCACATGTAAGTGAGATAACATGGTATTTATCTGTTTCTGTTTGTCTTATTTCACTTAGCCTAATACCCTCTAGGTCCATGTTATTGCAAGTGGGAAGATTTCATTCTTCTTTATATATGTATACAATATTCCATTGTATCTATCTATCTGTCTGTTTGTCTATCTTTTGAGAGATACTATCTCTCTATCCAGTCATCTATTGATGGGCACTTGGGTTGCTTCAATATTTTGGATATTGTAAAAAGTGCTGCAATGAACATAGGGGTGCATATATATTTTCAAATTAGTGTTTTGGATTTCTTCAGATAAATACCCAGAACTGGAACTGCTAGGCCATAAAGTAGTTGTATTTTTCATTTTTTTGAGGAACCTCCATTTTCCATAGTGGCTACACCAATTTGCAATCCCACCAACAGTGCATGAGGATTCCCTGTGCTCCACATCCTATCCAACACTTGTTTGTTGATTTATTGATGAACTGATGATGGTCATTCTGACAGGTGTAAGGTGGTATCCCATTGTGGTTTCAATTTGCGTTTCTCTGATGACCAGTGATGTTGAGCATCTTTTTATATGTCTATTGGCCATCTGTATGTTCCCTTTGGAGAAATGTCTATTCAGGTCCTCGGCCCATTTTTTAATTGGATTCTTTAGTTTTTTTGGTATTGAGTTGTATGAGTTCTTTATAAATTTTGGATATTAACCCCTTATCAGATGTATCATTGGTGAATATCTTCTCCCATTCAGTAGACTGTCTTCTTGTTTTGTTGGTTTCCTTTGCTGGGCAAAAACTTTTTAGTTTGACATAGTCCCATTTATTTATTTTTTCTTTTGTTTCCCTTGCTCAAGGAAATAGATCAGACAACAATATTACTAAGAGAAATGTCAGAGAGCTTACTGCCTGTTTTCTTCTAGGAGTTGTATGGTAAAAAAAAAAAGATTTACATTTAAATCTTTAATCCATTGAGTTTATTTTGATTGTGTAAGCAAGTGGCCCAGTTTCATTTTTTTGTATGTATTTGTCCTGTTTTCCCAACACCATTTATTGAGTAGACTATATTTATCCTGCTGTATGTTCTTGCCTCCTTTGTCATAGATTAAATGACCATGTAGGCTTGGGTTTATTTCTGGGTTCTCTATTCTGTCACATCGATCTATGTGGCTGTTTGTTTTTATGCCAGAACCATGCTGTTTTTATTACAATAGACTTGTAGTATAGTTTGATATCAGGTAGTGTGATACCTCCAATTTTGTTCTTCTTTTTCAAGATTCCTGTGACTACTTGGAGTCTTTTGTGGTTCAAAATAAATTTTCAAATTATTTCTTCTATTTCTGTGAAAAATGCATTGGCAGTTAACTGGGTTTGTCACATATGGCCTTTATTATTTTGAGGTATGTTCCCTCTATTTCCATTTTGTTGAATGTTTTTATCATAAATGGATGCTAGATTTTGTCAAACACTTTTTTCTGCATCTATTGATATGATCATATGATTTTTATCTTTTGTTTATGTGGTTTATCATGTTAATTGATTTGCAGACATAGAACCAACCTTGCATTCCAGGAATAAATCCCACTTGATCATGGCATATGACCTTTTTTTAATATATTGCTGAAATCGGCTTGCAAATATTTTATTGAGGATTTTTGCATCTAAGTTCATCAGGAATATCTGCCTATAATTTTATCATTTTTTTGGAATGTCTTTGTCTGATTTTGGAATCAGGGTAATGGTGGCCTTGAGACTGGAAGCTTTCCCTCCTCTTGAATTTTTTGGAATAGTTTGAAAAAAATAGGTGTTAATTCTTCTTTGAATGTTTCGTAAAATTCGCCTGTGAAGCCATCCAGTCCAGGACTTTTGTTGGTTGGGAGTTGTTTCATTACTGGTTAGATTCCATTAGTAGTAATCAGTTGGTTCAGATTTCCAGTTTCCTCTTGATTCAGTGTTGGAAGATTGTGTGTTTCTAAGAATTTAAACATTTTCTCCAGATTGTCCAATTTTTGGCATATATTTGTTCATAGTATATTCTTTTAATTCTTTGTATTTCTGTGGTGTCAGCTGCAACTTCTCTTTCATTTCTGATTTTATTTATTTGGGTCCTCTTTTTTTCTTGACGAATGTGGTTAAAGGTTTATCAACTTTGTTCATCTGTTCAAAGAATCAGCTCTTGGTTTCATTGATCTTTTGTATTGTTTTTTTAGACTCTATTTTGTTTATTTCCACTCTGATATTTATTATTTTCTTCCTTCTACTCACTTTGGGCTTTGTTTGCAGTTCTTTTTCTAGTTCCTTTAAGTATAAGGTTAAATTGTTTATTTGAGATTTTTCTTATTTTTTGTATTGCTATGAACTTCCTGCTTAACACTGCGTTCATTGTGTCCCATAGATTTTTAGGTCACTGTGTTTTTATTTTCATTTGTTTCAACAGGTATATTTTGGTTTCTTCCTTGATTTCTTGGTTGACCTATTCATTATTTAGTAGCAGGTTATTTACCTTCCATGTGCTTGTGTGTTTTTCAGGGTTTTTTTTCTTTCTTATAATTGATTTTTAGTTTCATACCATTCTGTTTAGAGAAGACAATAAAATTTCAAATTTTTTAAATGTATTGAGACTTGTTTTGTGGCCTAACATAAGGTAAATTTTGGAAAATGTTCCATGTACACTTGAAAAGAATGTATATTCTGCTGCTTTGGGATGAAATGCTCTAAATACATATATCAATTAAATCCAGCTGGTCTAGTGTGTCATTTAGGGCCACTGTTTCTTTGTTGATTTTCTGTTTGGAAGATCTGTCCATTGGTGTCAATAGGGTATTAATGTCCCCTACTATGATTGTATTACTACTTATCTCTCCCTTTCTCAGTCAATATTTGCTTTATATATTTAGGTGCTCCTATGTTGGGTGCCTAAATGTTTACAAAGTTATATCCTCTGGTTGGATTGATCCCTTTATCATTGTGTAATGTCCTTCTTGTCTCTTACTATAGCCTTTATTTTAAAGTCTATTTTGTCCGATATAAGTATTACTACCTCATCCTTTTTTTCATCTCCATTCATATGAAATATCTTTTTCCATCCCTTTACTTTCAGTCTGTGTGTGGTATGTCTTTTGTGAGTCTCTTGCAGACAGCATATGTATGGGTCTTGTTTTCTTATCCATTCAGCCACCCTATGTTCTTTGATTGAAACATATAATCCATTTACATTAAAGTGATTATTGATTGATACATAGTTACTGACACTTTATTATTCATATTTATGTTCTTTTTTTTTTCCACATTCTTCTTCTTAAAGAAGTTCCTCTAATATTTCTTGTAATATTGGCTTGATGGTGATGAACTCCTTTAGCTTTTTCTTGTCTGGAAAGTTCTGTATCTCTCCTTCAATTTTAAATGATAGCCTTGCTGGGTAGAATAGTCTTGGGTGTAGGTCCTTGCTTTTCATCACTTGGAATATTTCGTACCATTCCTTTCTGGCCTGCGAAGTTTCTGTTGAGAAATCAGCTGACAATCTTATGGGAGCTCCCTTGTAAGTAACTAGTTGCCTTTCTCTTGCTGCTTCCCAAGCTTATGATTTAAACTATTTCTGACTTAAAAAACACTATCAAAATATCTTTTAATATAGTAGGGTATTTAAAGGAAGTTAGAAAACCTGCAGTTTGACACATCTGTAAAGCGTTGTTAGGGGCTAGGGTGTGTATCAGCTATTGGAAATTTGAAGGCAAAGAGGACTTAGAAGTTGAGATAAGTAGTCTCACTTCTAGGAAACATATAAGGCATCAATATCTAGCTATATTCCTATGAAACAAAGGCTTTCACCGTTTTATTTATTTAATAGAACTACATGGGAAATGAATAAAACATTCCAAATAAAACAACTGAAAAATATGTGTAGAAGGCTGTTCCTAAAAGTCATGCATTTCTAAAGAATGGAGGGTTGGGGAGGGTAAGAGTCCTACATATAGGTTTCAAGTAATAATGAAAGTCAGAAGTCTGATCAAAGTGACTCTTTGATGTTTTGAGCTTCTTCTAAATCAATTTAAGGATAGATTTTGTGTTTACAGCATACAAAAATGTTATTTATAACACATGATCCCATCTCTCCCTTGGCTACCTGCAGCAAATTTGACTCCAAACCACCAGGTCCATGGCATGATGGTATGATGGAAGACATGCAGAAAAGTCACTTGGGTATTTTTCTTACGCAGAACAAAAAAGATCTGAAATAATTTAAAGAAAATCAAGTTCATATAAAATCATGCAGTAATTTATCTAATGTTATAAAAATATTGGCAAACTGCAAACTATTTCACATCATAATTTGCTTTGAAAGGACTGCCTTATGGAATGCTCATGGGAGCAGCTGGTTCTCCAAGGGGCAGTTCAAAGGCTCATTAGTATGAAGGAACTTAGGAATGATGCCTCGTCATGGGAGAATCAATGAAAAAGTAAAAATACATTGCAAGCAGACTTGAAAGTCAAGGATATAAAGTGAAGAATATGGCCAATACTTGTTGAAAGAAATGTTATTGGTAGAAAAACAATTCACTTGAATTTTTAAGTATAGGGAAAAGCAGGGAATCTGAATCCTTATGACTGAAATTATTCTACATCGTTCTCTAACACATCCTACCAATTTACACAAGGTTTTAAGCAAATTGAAAGAGGACTTGCAAAGAATCAAAAGTTAGCAAATTATTATTAAAGAAAAATAAAGAGGGAAAACTTGAAGAGCTCACTGGGGAAATATAGAGAAAAAAAGTAAAATGAGAAAGGCAATGAAGGCACCACTCAGACTGAATGTACCCAATGGTTTGCAGAAACTCTACAAACAAACAAAAGAACAGAATAGAAAAGATTTGGGGGAAGCTTTTTCTTTTTCAAAAAATATTCAAAAGCAGAATTAAATGTTCAAAAAACACTCAAAATTCAGAAGACCAGTGGTGAGTTAGACTTCAAATACAGCACTAAACAAAGCAGCAGAAACAAAAACAAAAGTATTTGTAGGAGTATTTCAGAAGTGTGGTTTAAGGAAGGACATTGAGGCTGCAACAGTTTTCTACAGAAGCTAGAACTAAGAACATGCAAAGCAGGAACAATGAAGCCAACATGAATTTGCTTAAGCACATGGAAGGAGGCAGCATGATGCAACAGAAAAATGCATAAAACAGAAACTAGGGCCCTAGTCCCAGTCAGCAGGAGCATTATTTTGGGTGAGTCACTTAACTTCTTGGCTTCAATGTATTTTCAGACAGAGGGCTTTAGACTTTAATGCCTCAATAGCTGTTAACCCTGGCTGCATATTGCAATATCTAAGAAGCTTTTTAAAAGTAGCCACCCTTGGTCTCTACTCTAGACCATCTGGCACCAAATCTCTGGGGATGGGGCCCAGGCTTTTTGCTTTCTAATGCAATTAAGTCTACTGGACCATGAGGGTTGAAAACCACTGGACTACAGCAGGGGTTCTCAAAGTGTGGACCTTGGACCAACAGTAATTACATCACCTTAGCACTTGCTGGAAATACAAGTTCTGAGCTCCACCTAAGACCTACTGAATCAGAAACTCTGTGTTTTTAAGAAGCTCTCCATGGGATTCTAGTGCATGCTAAAGTTTAAGAACCACTGGACTGATTCTATGTTCCCTAAAGTCCTTTTCAATTCTAACATTATGTGTGGGCTAAAGCATGTTGAGATTTGCTACAAGAAATGTAGTGAGAGAGAAGAGAGAACACACTTGTCCGTCTTAGGTCCAGGGCTGATTCCAAATAACTAAGACCCACATACCACAAAGATACAATAAATATCCAGCTTTTCTACTCTGGAAACAAAGGTGCATGACTTTCTCCTCTTCTTGTGGACCCTACTCCGTGGCACTTGTTTCTCCCAGGGCCAAGTCACCTAAATTCAGGGTTGATCTTCAGGCAGAGAGGGGACCCAGTAAGCATGGACTTCAAGGGCAGCTGGAGGTAGTTTTGCTATTACCAGAATTACTGATATCCCAGGGGTCACTTAACAGTCTAGTATAAGTTTATGAAATTCAAAGCATTTATCCTCTTAAAGCAATATGGATGACACAGTGTTCTGATATGAAGAACCAAAGGTAAAATGTTCTCTGCTCTTTGTTTTCTAAACTTGCTTCACAAAACAACTACCATCAATCTACATAAAGATGCAGCTTTGTAGTGTATGTGACAGTTACATGCTTATCTTAAACAGGTGGTATATATTTGAGGACACCTTTTGGAGTTTACAAGAGACTGAAAAATAAGCGTGTTCTATTTGTTCTCTAAAATTACTGATAAGAAAAGGTAAAAGATAATAGTAGGTCTGCCAGAGGAGGAGAGATAACCAAAGTTATCAGATAACTGAACTCATAACAGTTTATTGCTTTCATTGAAACATCAAACATTTACTAAATATGGTGACTACATACTCACAGTATCTAACAGCTCGATGAATTTGGAGAAGTAGTAAAGCCAACAAGTGCGTGCCATCTGCAGAAACCACGTGGATATGAATATATTTATTTTTTTACATGAAAGAAAAAAATTTTTTTTTAATTTTGGCAAAATACACATAACATAAAATTTACCATCTTAACTATTTTTAAGTGTTCAGTTCAGTGGCATTAAGTACATTCAGATTGTTGTGCAACCATCACTACCATCCATCAATAGAACCCTTTAATCTTGCAAAACTGAGACTCTACCTATTGAACAACTCCCCATCATCCTTTCCCCCTAGCTACTCACAACTACCATTTTACTTTCTGCCTCTGAACGAAGACTACTTATATAATAATAGAATCATACAGTATTTGTCCTTTAGTGCCTGAATTATTTCATTTAGCATAATATCCTCAAGTCTCATCCATGTTATAGCATGTGTCAGAATTTCCTTCTTTGTTAAGGCTGAATAATATTCATCATATGGATATACCACATTCTGTTTAAAAATTCATTCATCAGTGGACACTTGGGTTATCTCCACTTTTTGGCTATTGTGAATAATGCTGTTTCATATAAATATGGGTATATAAATATCTTAGAGTCCCTGCTTTCAATTCCTTTAGGTATATACTCTGAAGTGGAATTGCTAAATCATATAGTAATTCTATTTTTAATTTTTTAAGGTAGCAGATATGAATTTATCTTTAAATCCAAGAAATTAAAAAAGAAAAATTTTCATTTTACAGAAAACCATATGCCTGACTTTCTTTGATTCTTTCCAGTAGTGTTTAGCTTTTTTTCCCTTAATACTTATATTCTAATAATTGAGTCATTTACTCATTCTGAGTTTACATAAAGTGTTACAAATAGAATCCAAATAATTTTAACACTGATTTTGAATTACAAGTTTTTACAAAGAGAAACTTACCCTCAATGCTGTAGGTGACCTGGAATAGTCGACAATTTCACATCGAAATGAATAGCCTGTACCCCAGCCAGACATCACAAACTGTAAGACAAGGCATGAATATTAAAGAAGGAAGCACTTGCTCAACAGCTAAAACAAAGGTAGTTTTGCTTTTTGTTTATTTATTTATTTATTTATTTATTTATTGGGGAACAGCCATGATCATTGGTTACACATTGCTTTCATGCTACAATGGCATAGTTGACTCTTTAAGGGAGGGCGTAGCTCACAGTGGCCAATGCGGGGATTGAACCAGCAACCTTGGAGTTATCAGCACCACACACTAACCAACTGAGCTAACTGGTCACCCCCAACAAAGGTAGCTTTGATTGTCTCTTCATTATGTTCTCAGCTGAGTCAGCAATCAATGCAAAGGGAAAGGCAGGCTAGAACAATTACAAACTAGGAATTCACTTGATATCAAAGCAACAAGAATTTTTAAAATTGTAAACACATATTATTTACATAAACTATATCTGGACGAAGATGTCCATTCATTCTAATATAGTGGAAAACAAAATGCTGGGAGTGCTTTGCTTAAACAGCAAAACTGGTAGGTATATGCTAGTATATGTACATATAGGTCTATCAATATATGCCTGTGCATATGTTTATATACTCTAAAGGGAATAACTGGATCTGAAGTCAGTCTTTTCTGGTGATTCTCAATCTTTCAAATTCGTCAAATAAATGGGCAAACCAAAATTCCTCAAGTTACTCATAAGATGGTTGTGACGACTGGCTTTTTCCTGTCCTTGGCTAGGGGGTGTAATGTGAAGTGGTAATCCACGGCTCTGAAAACCAAGGTTGGCCAAATGTAAGACTCAGGTATTCGTTTTGCTTTGGGTTCACATGACAAGTAAGAAAGGAAAATCTCAACAACAAGGGTGCAATCTAGCAAGCCTTAATTCCAAAACACCCACGACTAACAGAAGAAAAAGCCTATTGTTGGCAAGTCTGAACTGTAATTCAAAGATTATATTGACATTCTCTCAGTATGATGGTGGGAAGGTCTTCCTTTAAAACAGTATCTAAAAACGAAAAACTAAAGGCTATAAGTTTAAATTAATGCCTATATTAAATGTTTGGCTTAATTTAGAGTTCTGATAATGTGATTAGTTCTTCTCTCCTCCGACATCCTATTCTCACAAGTGCCAACATTTCTCTATAATGTCTTCTTTCTCGGTATATGGTTACATCATTTTCTGCCACTGAAGTACATTTTAAATTCCTATTTTTAATTACCACTAAAGCTAAAATGACAACTTTATGATAAATTAACTTCTAAAAGCAAAGGTTTATGAGGCATTATCAGATGATATTTTAATGGTGAAAAGAAAAGAAACAGAGAATAAAAAAAACTTTCTAGATTGTGGAATTTTAAAACACCATCCTTATCAGAGGGGCATTAGACTTATTGGGGTGATCGCTCTGTTAGGTATATAAATGTCTAATCACTATGTTGTACACCTGAAACTGATATAATATTGCATGTCAACTGCAACTGAAAAATAAATTTAAAAAAATTAAAAGTAAATAAATAAAAACACAACATCTTTCTCTGAAACAAGCTCCTGGCTTGATTCATAAGATAACAATCACACTGTTAACCTGGTAAGATATGAAATCTTGAAAATTAAAATTTGGAAAATATAAGACATATTTCATGGGTGAGAAAAATCTTACAAGAACAAGTCAATAAATTTTCTCTAAGGAACTAGGGAATATATGGTACAGCAATGACTATTTCTGCTCCACAAAATCCTGATCTGTCAATGAGCCTCCTCATATTCTCTTGAGCTCAGACTTAACTTCTGACTGATGCAAGTAACAGTCTAAGTCCATTTACTTAAACTGGGAGGACTGATTCTCCACTTTTCCCTACCCCCAAACAAGCACTGCACTGAATGGGAGAAACTGTGTAACTTGGCCTCTGTGGGGTGAGTCTTCACTGCTCTCTCTTCATTAGTGTCTGACTGGTGCCAAATAACCAGGACATTCAAACCATCACTATAAAATAAGGCATGTGGGTTGCTTTAGTCTAATGTACGTCGGCTTCAGCTTGTTCTATTTGCCCTAAGATCCCTAGTGGAGGTGTTCACTCTGTAGCCCAAACGCAGTGTGCTCCACCCAGTAAACCAGATGTTCAGATGTGTTCTGAGATACATACTGCTCAGTTGTCAAAAGTCTTTGTTTAAACAGAGAGAGGAACTTAATACTTAATTCTTTCCTGATACTACATTTAAGAACATTCTAAAAGTCTGTGGAACTTTTGACATATATATCTATATTTCAAGCTATCAAGAAGAAAAAGTAATAATTTAAATTTAGCAGGTAATAAACCCCAAAATGGTCATATAACTCTAGTATTAGAGGCTAATGGGAGATAGAAACTTTCAGATTCAGATATTTTCAAATCTTCTTTTATGCTGTAATTGCTATACTAGGAATCAAAACTTACTGGTTATAACTGAATTACATCCTAAGAAATATATTTGAAGACATCACACTCAATGACACAATCAGACGCAGAGCATAAAGGGAACTGAGAGACAATTTGGTTCAATCCTGAATCTGTAAAATGTGAGAACTGAGGCCCAGAGAGGTTAAATGACTTGCTCAAAACCAGGGAGCTGGTTAGTAGCATAACTGGGACTAACCAGCCCTTGGTCTGTAGGCTTCCAGGTCTGGTCTTAACTCTGTCCTATAGTCGGCCATATCCTATCTCTATTAACATGCTAACAGCATGAATTTTCTCTGCTCCCCATCCCCACCGTCACCCACCCCCATTACTCTTTCCCTTTCAGTTATTCATGCTCCATAAAGGACAGTACGGCGGCCTTTGAGTTAATTTTGGAAATAAAGTAAAAGAAATGGAAGGCAGGAAAGTAAGTCCAGACTTCAGGGAGGCCTGTGAGAAATGAGGCCAGGGTAGATTTCGGGTGACCGAATCAGGTGGATGCACAGAATGAATCAGGTTGGCAGGATACATGTGCAGAGGCCACGGTGTCAAGACAGGCCAGAGGGATCTTGCTGGACTCTCATGAGCCCCAGTGTGAGGAAGCCCAGACTGTGTCGCAGAGGAAGAAAATCAGGAGCTGAGGCAGACAAAGCCAGCCAGTACTGAGAAAGAAGCAAGTAAGCTCAGAAAAGCAGTTAAGTGAAGGTGGCTGAGGCAAGTCAGCGGGAGAGGGAGAGAAGAGAATCCATGAGTCTCTTTTGGGTCCTGAAAGATCATCTCTCTTACTGATAATTTAGGGATAGGCTCCCTCACCTGCTACTTTGTGTGAGTCTAAGTTCTCTATTTCCCCAAAGCTCAGCTAAACCAAACCCAAACAATGCACCACATTATAGCTCATCAGAGCACATAAAAACCAAAGGTTCCTACCATGATGACGATAAGTCATTAGAGTCAGGATGAGCTCTGATGTCAGACAGACCTGGGTTTAAGTATCAGTTCTCCACTTACCAGCTGTGCTACTTTGAGTAAGTTACTTAATTTCTCCAAGTATGAGTTTCCTGAAAACTAAGGAAATGATTCATGCAGTCATCTATTAAGGCTAACTATTGCATGTCCCTGGACTTGATTTTTCTCACTACCTGTGAGTAGACTTTACTGAGATAGTTCAATGTCTGGTCCATACATAACAATTTTTGGCAAATCCCTGCTCTAGTGAGCTAAGTTTCTAAACTTCTTTAAATCTCAAAGAGTTTTACAATCATAACAAGACACAATGACAGATAAACAGGAAGACTCAGGCAAAATTCTCCCATTAGGAATACTGAAGACACTTGCCTCATAACACATATACACAGAAAAGAGTACTATGAAAAAATTGTACGTTATCATCGTTTTCTTGAGGTCAAAGGGCTTTCGATTCTCCATGAGCTTTGGTCCCAGAGAAGTGACAAAATAGACATAGAGTCCCAGGATGATGGTTTGTGGTAGAGGCGAGGACATGAGGAGCCAGTCTTCAACTCTTGGATCTAAGACAAAAACAAGATGTCAGTGCACATCCACTTAAGCAAAAGATAACTGACAGCAATGAGCCCTTCTTTACGTGAGCACCTAGGCCTTAACGTTGACAACGGACTATTTGGGCAAGGATCACTACTATCTTCAGGAAGGGGAAATCACCAGAGATAGTGACGGGGCTAGAAACAGTGAGCCTGTTAGCACCCTAGGCCTCAAAGGGCAAGGAGAGTAGTGGTTACAGAACCCAGGGGAGTCCTGTGGAGAAGCCCTCTGGAGAGGAGCTGTGACCTCTGTGGAGAGATTCGGCCAGCACAAAGCAATTCTGCAAGTAAGGGGCCAGGGGAACAGCCACCCCAACGCCACCCTCCTCTCTCTCTCCCTCATTTCCTGGGGCTCTCCACTGGCTGAAGCCAACCAGAAACCAGAGGGCAGAGGAGCAAGCCCACAGGTATAGTCCACACTGGTCATTGTCCAGGGCCCAGCACAACAGGCAGAATGGAGCCGGAAGACCAGAAAACATCCAGCAAGGTCCCACCATCCATCTATAACCACTAGGAGAATTTTAGAGTTTCTCCATCCAAACATTCTTTTACATAAGAAAATGTTTGTTTTCTGTTTCTTAACTTTCTTCTTTCCCCAACAAAACTGGGACATTTCCATATATCCTGTATCAAGAATGGAAAGCGACCTTAGTATCACCTAAGAATCTAATGTGTGTGTTCTAGGTATCCAAAATGTGGGCTAGTCAACCTGATATTTTGAGCAAAAAAAAAAAAAAAGTATTAGCCTCTCAACATGTAAAATGAAATGCACCCAGTCACTGCTAGTTCTAGGAGAGTTCGATGAATTAAAAATTGGAACTCAAGATGAAAACATGTGATTAATTCTAAATTCATCTTAAGTAGCTCAGGGGTAATTTTACTAAGTTGACTCATGAAGCCAGGGTATTATAAAGGAAAATAAGAATGGACAAAGTTCCAGGTGCAAGACTCAAAATTCAGTCTTGATTAACCTTCGGTTGCTAAATGCCATCACTTTCATCAAATGTAAAAGAGAGACGAGAGAATACAGCCCTTGCTCATTTAAACTGCTGATGATATAGCCAATTACTGAAAAAACTATGACTACCGTTCAAGTCTGACTTCCTCCCCAATGTAAAAATTTCTCCAATAGACTCCATGATGGATGCCTCAACTGGCCTCAATTTTATTGCTGGAGAACACACTCCTATTAGACACTCGAATGTTCTAGAGCATGGCTTTAGCTATTAAAGATAATGTGTCCTGTATTCAAGTGGGCTTTCTTCAAAAATACCAACAGTATGGATGAGTTGTATTTTTTTTTCTTTTTCTTTATAAGCAATTTTAAATGTTTCTGTTAACAGACATCATTTGTATGGTTGAAAATCAGGGTTTTTAAAAAGTATCAGTAAAGGAATTCCTGAATTAGAGATATATTTCATTTCACTCTTTCATTGACTCAGCAGGGGGGGAGGAAATCAAATGACATCATCTTTCCACTGGTGGCAGCAGAAACAAAACAAACCAGGAAAAGCATGCTGGGCTGGCTCAGGGAGCAGAAGAAAATAATTTTAAAATAAATAACTATTTCCTGTCATTTAACATTTTAAGCACCCACCTTTTCTTTCTTTTTTTTTTTTTTTAATCCTGTGTGTGACTTTCAAGTCCTATCGATTAAAAAAAAAATCATTACATCCTCTGGGGAAAGCCAGTTAATTTGATTTCTTGTTATTTTAAAGTGAATAATAAAACAAAACAGTAAGTTTTTTAACCCTATTACAGCAAAGCTCTGGAGTCAGCTGGTTTGGGTTTTGATCCTGGCTTTCCTACTGGCTCCTTATGTGACCTAGGGGCGTTGACCTAACTTATCTTTGTTTTTTCTTCATCTGTGAATTGGGTGTAAAACAGCATATATCCCCTAGAGGATTTAACTGAGCTCTTGTATGAAAAGAGCCCAGCACAGCCTAAATGCTGAGCAAGTGTTGCTATTGTTACAGCAGATCTCAATCTTGTCAGCATAGCAGCATCGCCTTGGGAGTATTTAAAAATCAAATGACCCTGATCCAACGGAATCAGAATCCTAGGGTATGGGCCCCAGGCATCCATATTTCGATAAACCAGTGATTACGATGAACTGTCAGAGTTGAGAACCAGGGTTTCTGTGAGCTTCTTTCTCCTACATTCAGGGCCTCAGAGTCCCTCACTAGGTGCTCTGCTGTAGTCTTTTGTGTGGTTTCCCTGCCTCCTGACCCAATCTGCTACATCTAGTCTTCTACACAACTGCCAAATTCACTACCTTAGAGTACAGCTCTGCTCAGACTACTCTTCTGTTTAAGTTAGCTCTCCCTACTGAGCAGATAAAATCCAAAGTCTTTAATAGTATGTTCATGACTCCAACGACTGTTCGTTTTTCCTGCCTGCCTTCTCTCTCAGCAACAGTTACACCTTTCTGAATGGGGAGCCCACTTCCATGTGAGGCAGTGGGCTCCCCATGATGAGATGTTTACAAGTCAGGTTTAGAATGGTGACTTGATGGGGGGAAGGGAGCAGGAGAGGAGTGTTGTAGAGTGGACTGCTTGACAACATTTAAAATTAATCCTGACTTAGTCTGTGATTACACAAATTACAAAAGGTTCAGGGGTGAGGTGAGCTCTGTTTTCTCCAGAGACAAAAGGCTGAAGATATATTTTCTGTCTGGCATCAGAGTTGGGTTTAAGTGTCATGAGTAGAGCCGGGGTGAAAGCACAGTGTGGGAAGGCAGGCTGTCTGAGAGTCCATAGCCCAGTGATTACCAACGTCCTGACTTATTACTACCCGGATCATTCTTTTCTAAGAGTGTTCCAGAGAAAGAGAATACAGAGGAAGAAGTGCAAATGCCACATATGTTGAATATTAATGAACTTGTCCATCAACTACTGGTAAGGGAGTGTTCTCTTCTTAAGTAGCATGTACTAGCTCAAAGAGTACACCCTCTAACATTCCAAGCACCAAGAAGGTGAAAAAGCTGGACAGAAAAGCAAACGTATACTTTGTAAAGCGCCAAAGGTTCTGAATGGCAACACTCACTCAGACTCCATCTTCTTGCAAAGAGATCACAACTAAGTTTGACAAATCATTACTATCCAATAACAAGGAAAGTTGCTTTAAAACATTAAACATATTATAGTATTATTTCAAAGTTGGACATTTCATATCTAAGAATCATAATAAATACTTTTACAGCTTAAATAATAATGAAACCAGTTTTAAATTCTGGAGCTGTGGAATTTTCCACATGAAATAACTATGCAGGGCCACCACTTCTTTAGCAATCAGAAAACCAATGAATATCAGTGAGTTTCCCAAAGGCTACTCAGGATTAGGGCCAAAGCCAAGAATACACTTGAAATTCTTGGCCCTTGATCAAGGACTCAGATCTTCCCAGGGAAAGCAAAGTAAAACTGAACTAAGACAGTGAGAAATGATTCCTAATGGCCTTCAGAAATCAATACCACACAAAGCAGAAGCAAAACCCTCTCCTCTTCTACCTGAAAGTGTTCTTATAAAGATGTAAATCTCAACCCAAAACTTTTTAAACTTTTTAGAGCCCAATGAGAGAAAAAAATGTGAAAAAATTTTTTAAAGAGTGATACACTATATTAAGAGTATTTAAGGTGAAAATACTCTGTCCATCACTTGTAACCACCACCACCCTCACTTGCATCGAGACGCTTCCCAAATGACAGAGCACTTTCATGCATATTATCTGGTAGCAGGTAGGTACCATTCTCCTCTCTGTTTTGCTAACAAAGAAACTGAAGCTCAAACAATAAAACATTTGTTCAAGATCACCTAGCTAGTCCACAGTACTGTCAGAACTTAAATTTAGGTCTTCTCATTACACTTTCCATACCTTCCATCCCCTTCAGTAGCTCTGCCTGCCTCTTCCTCTCATCTTCACTGCACTGTTTACACTGTTTCCTGGGCTCTCCTTGTCTCTCCTTAACCACCCCCAGCCCTTGGTCATTCCTTTTTCTGGCCTAATATTATTCAGATTTTAAATGCAAGTACTTCTAATAAAAAGTAAAGAGCTGATCCATGGATAAAAGAAGTGCAATTCAGAAGTAATTCATTTTTAAATATTTTATACTTCTAACACTATGTAGAGATTCACCATCATCTAAATTGATTTGGCTCTTGAGCTCGCATATTGATTATGTGAATCTCTTGGGCTCCTGCATTTGGAACAGTGAATAGCAAGAGTTAGATAACAAGGGTTCTATTCTTCCAAACAGGTCTATTTCAAAAGCTGTACCCAAATCTACTTGATTCCCAAGTTCAAATCTTGGGAGCTCAGGTAGCAAGGTACACCTCTACTTTGAAAAGCCATTAAAATATTGTATGTTAAAAAATAAATAAATAAAAACAATTAGAAGAAAACAAAAAAATTTTTTTTAAAAATTAGTTAAATTAAGTACTAAACTATGAGAACAAACTTCGATAAGCCTTCAGAGAAGAATGACTTCTAAAGAAACCTATATGTTCTCTGCATCATTACATAAGTTGAAAAAACTAAAAAAGAAGAAGAAGGAGGAAGAAAAGGAGAAGAATAATAAGAAATAGAAATAGTCACTCTCCATCCCCTACCAGAGAGTGAAGCTTCTCTATTTATGAGATCTTTTTTAGATCCTTGGCATTCTTCAGGGATAAAACTATTATAAATAGTGAAATAAAATTGGTCTCTAGCAGATTACTGAAAATGAAAGCAACCATGAAACAGTGTATCTTTGCTGAAATCAGTGTAAATTGGAATATAATTCCAATTGTGGTAGATGCCAAGAGGTGGCACTTTTTCCTCCTGAATTTGGTGAATATTCGGTTTCTGGCTGATATGTAAGAACTGATCTAAAATGGTGATAGTGGTGAATATGTGCCAAATAATAAATTGTGAAATACCAAAATACTAAACCTAATCAGAAAACAAAGGTTCTAGGTTTTTTTCTGCCAGAAACTAACCATGATGTTGGCAAGGTCACATCTCTGGGCATCACATATTTGGTGACTTAAAAAAACCTGGATTGACATAGATAAGAAAATAGAAGTTACTAATAATCCTACCACACAGAAATAACCACAAATCCTCACAAAAGAAATAGATGTGGTGTTTTGTAACCTGCTTTCATTTAATGTATTTTAAACTTCTTACTGTGGTATTAATTGTTCTTCTATAACATTGTTTGTTTGTTTTTTTAATGGGCAAGGGGAGAAGGCAAGCATTTCAGGATTATTCATGGGTTACCTCTGTCATTGTAAGTATCTGCAGTGAAACCCTGGAAACTTCCTCTTCACTAACTAGTAATAAAAAACAACGTTTGGGGTGCCTGTGAGGGAGTGTTAAGTTGCACAGTCTCTCATGCTGTTTCAATGAAACCCTATTAAATTGGGAATCTGACATAAAAAGAAAGGATAAGACTCAATTAGGAAATTTGGTTACTTACCAGCATCTTTGATCCAATTATCATAAAAACGCACGGTTCTCGATGTAAGATCACTGAAGGCCATTTTCCACAGGATTTACTGGCTCCTCAATGGGTTCTTCAGTAAAACAAAACAGAATGCATTTATGATCTATGAATACAAACAAAGCCAAGTTTCTAGCAATTCAATATTAAGAATGCTAAAAATTTAATAGGAATAACTGGCAAAAAAACAAGCTGCTACTGAGGTTAAGTGCATTAGTGAGCCATATTAAACCCTGATGCAGCTGCAAACATTTAAGATTTTTCATCATTGTAAGAACAATGCTTACTTTGCTAAAAAGGGCTGATATTCTGTACAAGATACAAAACAAGTAAATGATTCTAAGAACTTTTATGGAAGCGTCTCCCTTTTATGTGACAATGTAGATCAGGAATGGACTGTATGTACCGCTTTGAAAATTAAAATCCCAGGATAACAAAGTCGAGAAGATACATAAACTTTCAGAGAAGTCGCTCTGATCCAGACCTATAGCTGAATGTCAGGCATAATAAGGTCTTCTACATGCAAGTTTTTAAAATTTATGTGGAACAGAGGTAGAAAGAGGGAAGGAAAAAAGATTCACAAAGCCCAGCAGAAGCTGCCTAGCTTATCTGAACAGTCAGACAAGAATAGTTGGGGAAAGAAGTCTTCCGAAAAAGACCAGTACAGCAAAACTACCTGTATTATGGAGTAAAAGGTATTCTAAATCTTCAAAATTAAAACAGTGTGACACTGGCACATGAAGAAGCAAACCAATGAAATAGAACAGAATGTCCAGAAATATACCAAATACATTTGGGAATTTAGAACTGTATTTCATAAATTCTAAGACATACACTTCCCCACATTTTAACATCTCTGAAGTCAGCACACACCTTACAAATGGATGGTATATCATAAAATGAATAGTATATTTGATTCCAAATCATATAGTGAGAAAATGAAAAAGTTCTAGAGATAGATGGTGGTGATGGTTGCACAACAATGCAAATGTACTTAATGCCACTGAACTTTACACTTAAAAATTATTAAAATGGTACATTTTATGTTATGTATATTTTACCACAATAAAAAAAATCCTCTAGGTCTAAAGGTCTAAAAGAGGAAAAATCAGACTTCCTCCTAGCATTATAAAATAAAGCTATATATATATATATATATATATATATATATGTGTGTGTGTGTGTGTGTGTGTGTGTGTATATGTGTGTGTGTATATATATGTACCATGGGTGCCAAAAAAATGTATACAAGTGGACACTTTGGTCAACATTGCTCAAGCAGTAGTTTGCCATAATCAGAAGTGTCTGGATGCTGATGGTAACCACTTTGAGCACCTCTTGTAATTGCAAAAGTCAGACGTGACTTGCATTCATCTTTTGTTATCAGTATATATTATTACAATTTTAATAGCTTCTTCCTTTCTTAAAATGTGTATACAATTTTTTGGCTATATAATATTATACATATATATATATATATGGTATTATAAATACCATATATATATACATATATGGTATTGATAAAGGTGGCACCTCAAACCAGTGGGCACTAAATTACCAGCAGTTATTTAATAAACAGTGTGGTACAACTGGGTAGCCTTCTGAAAAAAAAAAAAAGTTGGATCCAAACATTATACTATAAACCAAGACCAACTTCAAGTAGATCAAAGGGTTAAGTAAGAAAAATAGTCACAGGATGACAAACAGGAGAACACTTATATAACCATGGAATGGGAAAAACCTTCCTAACTTTGATTTAAGATCCATTAGAGATAAGAAAAGACTAACAAATTTAACCATGTGGAAATCAAGAAGAAAAATAAACAGCCAAATGACCAATAAGAAAAAATATGTTCAATTTATATCACAGACAATTGCTTCTCTCCCCAATATAGAGTGCCTAGAAATTGATAAGATTTATATGGCAAGAAAGCAATGGGAAAATTTCACAGAAAAAGAAACACAAATGGCTCTTAAAACATACGAAAAGTTGTTTAACTTTAATCATAGAAAGAAATCTACAATATTTTATTGCATTGGATGGGCCAAAGTCCAAACATTTTTATCAGTCAGATGGGCTGAAATCCAAAAATGTGTTAACTCTGTTGGCAAGACTGTGGGAAACTCATTCATTGCAGGTGGGGGCGCAAATTAGTATAACCTTTAGTGAGGGCAATTTGGCATTATCAGTAAAAATTATAAATGCATATTTTATTTTTAACCCAGTAATGCTACTTCTGGAAACTTACCCTATAGACGTATACGCACATATGCAGACGGACATATATTCAAGGTATTCATTGCATCCGTAAGAGCAAAAGACTGGAAACAAGCCAAATGTCCATTAAAAGGGGACTGGTTAATAAATGATAATACATCTAACGTCATGAAATAGTATGTCATTGTAAATATTAATAAGAATCAGGAAGCTCTGTGTGTACCAATATGGAAAGTTACCCAAGATAAATCTACCTGAAAAAAAGCAACAGAAGGTACAGAATTTTAAAATAACTACCTTTTATAAGAAAAAAGGAGTAAGAATATAAATTTGCATATAGTTATATTAGCATAAAAGGAACCCTGAAAAGATATCCATCGGAAAGGGAATAGCGTCCCAACTGGGCCGAAGGGGTGGACGGAAGGCCTAAAGTAGTTTTTGATTTATGTGAATACACTACCAATTCAAAAGTTAAGAAATAAAGTATTTTAAAGGAAGAAATAATAGAATCAGCTGCACGTTTGCTAGGACAATTCTTATTTAAATACCCACACACAAGTACACATACACACAAGAGAGATTGTTTTCTTAATTCCTCAAGGGTCTGCCCCCCCCCCCAGAGGATCTCTTCAAGTCCAGGAAGATATCTCAGCATGGCCTCTGCTTTGGTACATCCTGTGTCCTCAAGCTGAGTTCACACTCAGGATTGGCTGTGGTGATGCCAGGATCTTGCCAGAGTCGGGCTGGACTCTTGTTTTCCTATGGATCATTTCCATAGTGAAGGTGTGACGTGGGTAGGAGTGCGGCTCTGGGGTCACAAAGACCCTGGTTTGAATCCCACCAAATAATAGCTGTGTGACACTGGGCAAAATTAAAGCTCAGTTTCCTAATCTGTAAAATGGGAATTCTACAATTTACCAACATAAAATAAACGAACTCATAGTGTTGTTTTGAGGACAGAATCTGAAAAAGAATGAACATTCAATCAAAGGCAGACATTATCATTTGTAAAGACAAACTATCAATTTAATTGGAAAACATCTGGCCAAACTTATTATCTTGTAAGGCTGAGTGGCAGTTTATAAAGCAAATTTGGAGAAAACTCTACTACTTTCATTTTAATAGCTGGTGTGTCACAGATTGCACATGATTCCTCCCTTGTTGTTTTCCAGTTGTTTAGATGTGAGTATTTTAGACCATGCTAATGGCTTTTCCCCTCACCTTAACTACTGGTGTAACAGACCTCAGGCCATTATTTTCATAATTAAATTGCCAAAATAATGCTGTTTCAATTATTCAAAATCAGAGTGAAAGATTCTAATTCTATATGGCATATGGTTGAATTACATTTCAAAGTATTATTCTGTTTTCTGTGCAATTCCTGCTTCCTCATTTTTTCACGCATGCCACCATTTTCTTCTCCCAAACCCTTACTGAGGCCCAAAGACTCAAAGAAACCACACTCTAATGCAGGTCAGAAATAGTCAGGGCAGCAAACAAAACTAGGTTCTCTAACCCCAAAGACTACACAAGGCTGAGATGGAGGAAGAGGGCAGGTGATCTGAGGAGCAACTGCACTAGAGGGGAAGGAGTAGCAGAAACAGACATCTTCCAAGCAGGTGAGAGATGGAGGACTGAGAAGGTAGGGAAGGAATCCGTTAGCCCAAGCTTTCTGGAGTGAAGACTCTCTCATTGATCCGTGGCTTGTGATAACCTGCCATCCAACAGTTCTTAACACTGTGGTTCCAGCAGAAGAGAACGAACAGCCATAATTGTGCAGGGATAGGGAATGAAAGGAAAACATGATCCCTTTACCTTACTGAAACTGAACATAAACTGCTGAGAATTTCCTTCTAAGCTGAGACAATGATGGACTGGAGGCCAACATTACACTATAGGGACTGTTCTAGAAAAGTAACAACTGAATTTGAGGCAACCTGGGCTGTTCCACAAACATAGTGCTACCCCTGGACTAGAGACAGGCACATCTCCCCACTCTGTGCCCTTTACCAGGATGTAACATGGACACTTGATTGTTAGACAGTGGTACAGAGATGGAAAGAAACATATTCTACGTGGTGGGGTATAGAGATACCTTCTAGCTGACAGCAGACCTGGGACGTTAACAACCAATTTAAATATTCAATGGCATAAAAGTTCAAGGCTGGAGATGCCAGAAAAGTCAGAGCTCTCATGTATGCGAAGCAGAGACTTAAAACTCAAAAACAGTAGACAAATCACCACACTTCCATTAAAGGTGGAAGAGACAAGGGAGGTGCTACGGGGAAAGAAAAAACAGCTCCCTGTCTGAGCTAGGCCTGACTCCAAAGGCCTCGCATATGAGGCAGCATTAGAGTAAACAGGAGCCTGTTGATGGGGGATTGGTGCTGGCCTCCCATTGCCCAGCATCTGCCACTGACCCATGGGTTCTGCTCCTTGTTGTTGACAGTATCACATGGTGACTGAGTCATTTGGTAAAGAAAGGACTTAACCTGCCCAGACTAGCTTCTTTAGGACTACATTAAAAACGTCACATTCAAATGTGAGAAATATGCTTGCTGCCTATAGGAGAAAGCCCTTCCCACAGGGCAGCGTCCCAAGGTTGCTTATGTCAACACAACATAGATACTAACACCACAACACAGAGATGTGCTTAAGGTATCTGATCACTTGGTCCATTTTGCTCAAATCCGTCTCAACAGTACAAGGCAGAACTCATCTGGAGAAGTTGCTGGAATTCACTCCAATGAAGATGGGACCTTAGAGTTGCCTGAGGTAGGAAGCACCTAGCAGGAGTCCAGAAATCTAAAACCATGTCCAACATTTTCAGGTAGACCCTCAAATGTTGAGATGTATCCAAACACTGCAAAATGTGTTGGGGACCCTTTCCCTGGGGGAAAGGGGTGGTAGAGTCAGCCTATGACTTTCCTAGGGCATGTCTATAATCCAGGAACAAGGTCAAATGGTTTCCCTTTTTCTTTTGATGTTTGGGAGGTTCTAGGCTCCCCACTGTTCCCTGCTTTGGAAATCAGATATCTGGGACAAACCTACGAGAACAGACTTGACTCTGGGTGGTGAACGCACAATGCAATATATAGATGATATATTATCGAAATGTATACTTGAAACCTATATCATTTTACTAACCAGTGTCACCCTAATAAATTTAATAAAAATTAAAACAAACAAAAAACAAAAACAAAACAGACTTGGTCAGCCAAAGGTGCTTGGTTGGGACACATAAACCTAAATGAGCTAAAAGAAGGTACCAGCATGGAATGGGGGTCGAAATTGGGGAAGTTTTCTGTGGAAAGCCAAGTGTAGCCTCATATTGGGGTGGTGGTTTGAAACTTGACCCTTGTACAAAGTAAGGGAGGAAAGGAGGACGGGGCAAATCAGGCTGCTCAACAGAAATAATAATTGCTCATCAGAGAACTGATAAGGGAAACACACCTTCAAATGCAGGTGGTGTGCCAAGGGAGCTAGAGCAGGGCCAGCTCAGAGAGCAAAAGGAAAAGGCAGCACCTGGCTCCTGAGAATAGGACGGGAAAGTTCAGCAGTGAGTCAGAGCAGGTGGGAGGAGCTCCGTCTGCCCGGTGGTGAAACGACTTCCCCAGGGAAGGTATCACACACAGCCTCTCTCTGCATTATGGCTCTGGAAAACCGGAGTTCAGATCAAGTTTCTACACCTGCTGTCTTGGAGAAGAAAAATGCTGAGATAAGAAATACATTTCTTGGGCCAGCCGAGTGGCTCAGTTGGTTAAAAGTTAGCTTAAGAGCATGAGCTCTGAGCAACAGGGCCACCGGTTCGATTCCCACATGGGCCAGCAATGCTGTGCCCAAACCGTGCTGCCACTGAGCTGCCAACAGGTGGCAGGATGGCTCAGCTGGTGAGACCACATGCTCCTAACAACAAGGCTGCCTGTTCGATGATGGGTTACACCTGCCCACAACTAAGACTGAACTCAGCACCTTGAACTGAGCTGCCATCCAGATGGCTCAGTGGATAGAGCAATGTGCTTTTAACAACAAGGCTGCTGGTTTTATTCCCGCATGGGATGGTGGCTATGCCCACCCACAACTAAGATTGAACTCAGCACCTTGAGCTGAGCTGCCGCCTGGATGGCTCAGTGGATAGAGCATACACTCTTAACAACAAGGCTGCTGGTTCAACTCCCACATGGGATGGTAACGAGTAGTGCCCACCCGCAACTAAGATTGTAACTAAGCACCTTGAGCTTAGAGGCCACGAGCTGCCAAGGGGCAGCCAGATGGCGACTGGTGCCCTCCACAACTAAGATTGAAGAACAACAACTTGGCTGGTCCCCTGCCTCAATCCCCCAACACTGTTCCCCAATGCCCCCCAATAAAAAACAAAAAAAAAGAAAAGAAATATATTTCTCGGTAAGAATTCCAAGATTGCTAGGGAAACTTACACCTAGATGTTAATCTGTGTGTTCCCTGTGTATTTCCCTCCCTGGCTGTTTTCTTACTGGAACTGGGTGCCCCCTCCCACTCCCACCGTCAGTAGTTAAGCAGAAACAGCCTCAAAGACGTTGCGAGCCTGAGTGCTGGACAGAAAGATTTGGGTGCTTGACTTTGTTCTGCCCCGGTGATTTAGTAAGACTGAGGCTGGGGAAAGAGGATCAGAAACTTTTAGGTATATTAAAATGTGAAGGATGACTATAAAGGAATAATTTGTTTGTTTAAAACAGAGTCTCTCAACCTTGGCTGTATTGACATTTTGGGCCAGACAATTCTTAGCTGTGAAAATTGTAGGATGTTTAGCACCAACCCTGGCCTCTACCCACTAGCTGCCAGGAATACCCCTTCCCCAGCTGAGACAACCAAAAAGTTTCCAGAAATTGCCAAATGTCCCCTGGGGCAAGGTCATCCCCATTTGAGGACCACTGGTTTAAGATAAACTACCAACATGTATTCATCTACATAAAAGTACTTTGCTTTAGAGTAGTCACTTTGGCAAATATAGTCGTTCTCCCTGATCCACAGGGTATATGTTCTCAGACCTCCAGTGGATGCCTGAAACTGCAAACAGTACTGAACCCTACATATACTATGTTTTTTTCCCCTATACATCCATACC